CCCCAGAATGAGAAACAACTTTAAATCATAATTATTGACGGATAAATAAACTTTTTACACGCTTTGGAAAATCTCAGAAGTTCGCGGTAGTCACTTTTCGGTAGGGAACTAAGGGACTCGGTTATTGTATCGAGCAGGGTTCGAAACGATCGCAAAGGCGGTATACTACGTATACGCGCCAAAAGTTCCAAAATTTTCAATTGGAGTCAAAAACTTTGAGCTCCAATGAGTACCAGTACAAAACTAAGGGGGGGNGGGGGGGGGGGGGGTTCAGCTCAGGTAGTTTGCATTGGAATATTAAGGTGAGGTAACGTCGAGAGATCTATTATTTCGGGTCTTTTTATATGTTTTTACCGCATGGTTCAGTTACTTTTTACTTCAAGCAAGTCTCTTCTATTTGTACTCAAGTCTCTTAATAAAACTATCGTTAATTTTGTGGCAATAACGCTGTGCGCTGCTGTATTACTGTCAAAATTTGTTGAAAAAGTGATGACTGTAGTTCAAAATAAGCCAGTCAACGTTTACTTGTGGTCCGACTCTATGATAACATTACATTGGATTAATAATGTACCGAGTAGGTGGCAGATTTTTGTAGCTAATCGGGTTGGTCAAATACAGCAAATAACAACTTCAATTTCGGCACATTGGCTGCACGTTCCCTCAGCAGATAATCCCGCAGACTTAATATCACGTGGAACAGAGCAACTGCGCACTTCAAACTTATGGTTCCATGGTCCTGCTTGGTTACTTGAGGAGAAATCAAAATGGCCAAGACAAGTCATAAACGTGCCGGATGAGTTAGCAAAACCAGAATTAAAACCACAACCAGTCTCGGTGTTTTTTAGTTCAGAAACATCGCAAACTTTACTCGAAAAATTTTCGTCATTACAAAAAGTATTGCGGATTCTAGCTTACTGTAACCGATTCATACATAATTGTAAAAAATCAAATACAGCAGAGAGGAACTTCAATGATCTCAATGCAAAAGAATTAGATGAAGCATTGATAATATGTGTAAAGTCAGCGCAGTCTAGCGAATTCTCATCAGAGATTCAAAGCTTACAAATCAACAACGAACTCATGAAATCAAGCAAAATACGATCTTTAAACCCCTTCATAGATAAAAACGCAATCTTGAGAGTGGGAGGCAGGTTACCTACAAAATTCTGATCTGGAAGAATCCGCAAAATATCCGGCTCTTCTGCCCATGACCCATAGACTGACCACCTTGATTTTCCAAGAAGAACACAAAAGATTGCACCACGCTGCACCCCAATTACTCTTGTCAAGTGTAAGACAGAAGTTCTGGCCACTCCGGGGTAGAGTAATTGCAAAAAAGCTGGTGAATAGATGCGTTATATGCGCTAGGGGTAAAGCGAAACTTGCATCCCAACAAATGGCCCCCTTACCCAAAGCTAGAGTATCACAGTTAAGTGCTTTTTCAACAGTGGGAATAGATTTTACTGGACCATTAGAAATTTCTTCATCACACCGGAAGAATGCATCTGTTGTAAAAGCTTATGTGTGCATTTTTGTGTGTCTTACAGTCAAAGCTGTGCATCTAGAGTTAATAACCAAACTCACAGCAAGCTCTTTTTTGCACGCTCTAAAAAGATTTGTCGCAAGAAGAGGACTTCCAGCTGCTATTCATTCTGATAATGCCAAAACTTTCGTAAGTGCAAACAAGCAAATCCAATGTATGTTTGATATAATTAATGAAGACCCTATAATTTCAAAATACTGTGCAGATAATCGCATTTCATGGAAATTCATACCTAAGTACTCTCCACATTTCGGAGGACTATGGGAATCTTCAATCCGCATCGTTAAGTATCATTTCAAAAGAGTTGTTGGAAGGTCTTGTCTCACTTACGATGAAGCAGTAACTTTAATATCGCAGATTGAAGCAGTAATGAACTCCCGGCCAATAACTCGACTTTCAAACGATCCAAATGATATGGAAGCATTAAGACCCGGTCATTTTTTGACAGGAAATGCTTTGCCATCAACATCGACGGTTTGGTCTTTATCTAGTCCTCTTGTCTGTTGGACTCAATTTGACAAATTAATGGCTACATTCTGGACCCGATGGAAAACGGAGTATTTACAGCAGTTACAGTATCGCTCAAAATGGAAAGAAAGGAGAGAATTAATCAAAGAGGGGATGTTGGTCATACTCAGAGAAAAGCACCTCCCTCCACTTTGCTGGAAGTTAGGCAGAGTGACGAAAACACATCCTGGAGCTGATGGATTAGTTCGCGTCGTATCGTAGCAATGGACAAACGACGAGGGCCATCTCGGAAATTTCGCCCCTACCTGTGATTTTTGAGGAAACCTCAACCGGGGGAGAATGTTGACTTCAAATATTGGTATCAGCTGATACAATGCTGATGATAGCAATTGCTTATAATTTGGAGTATAACCTTGGTTCAGTTACTTTTTACTTCAAGTTACAAGCAATTGCTATCATCAGCATTGTATCAGCTGATACCAATATTATGCTTCAACACCTCATCAGTAGATCACACTCGTCATGTGAACGCAACTGAAAATCTCGCAAAATCCAAAACGGCATCAAAGCTCAAGTTCGATGTACAAGTTTTGTATTGCAAGACGGCAAGTTTCGCACTGGTATACTCATTGGACCTCCAAATTTTTGACTCTGATTGAAAATGTTTGAACTTCTTGGCTTTTGATCTCATTGACGAGTGTGATCTACTGACGAGGTCTATAACAAGACCCAAAATTATAGATCTCTCGCCGTGACCTCTACTTACTATTCTAATGCTAATATTGCCTGAGATGAACGCTCTTCCCCTTCAGTCATGTACTGCCGTACTGGTTATCCATTAGAGCTCAAAGTTTTTGACTCCAATTGAAAATTTTGGAACTTTTTGGTTTTGTTCTCAAAACAGTGTGGATCCAGCACTATTTTGCCACCTTTTTACACAGTTCGGGTTTCATTTTTAGGGCTTTTTTCTCTTTTTTTCGTGATTCTAAGGAAAATGGTCGAAAAAATCACATTTTAAGGGCGGAGCTAATAAACTGCTGTTTCACAGGATTAAATCAAGTTTAGGAACTATTGATATACTCGTATGTTTTCTAGAAGTAAATTTTACGTTCTTTCAATGAGCATAACAGTTATTTTGTCAGATAATCGTGGCTTGAGGTTTGAAGCAAAGCTTCTCCTAAAATCACCAAAAATGCGCCTTTTTTAAGCTAATTTTTGAAGAAAACGTTAATTTCACGACCAAAAAATTAAGTTAGAAGAAACAAAGGAGGATGATTTCGGTAGGAAATTGTATGCTATTTCCGCTGTTTTTTTTTTGTTTTTTTTTCGTGAGATGTACCGTTCAGGAGATATTTGCAAAAATCTAATCGTGAGTTTTCTCAATTTTGAAAAATTCAAAATTGCGGCGCCCTGAGGACCAGCCAATTTTCCTGAAGTTAATATGGCCATTTTCGGGCTTCTTTAGCACCTAGGAATCGAAAAAAATTGGTTCAGTTCGAAGGACAGAACCCCTCGTTGACCGGTGTAATCGATCATTCACGTCTGCATGGTTACTGGTACCACCATGTGCTATTTTTTTGGAAATTTCAAATTTTAGTTTGATCAGCATCCATCTGAGAATGGCTCGATTTTTAGCCGAACATATTTTATTCCTTTAATTATGTTTTAATGTTGGACGCCATTTTGTAAATAGGAACTAAAATTTTGACTCCCCCATGATAGCACAAATCTGTATAGGGAAATTAATGACACACACGTTGTTTCTAAAATGAGCCAGAAATAGCGGTTCCCTTTAATAAAATGCAATCCAATTCGCATCCTAGTGGGCAAGGGTTGGATGGAACGACTCCTGTTACGGAGTGTTCACCTACGCCGTGGTATTGTTCTTGAAGCAAGAAGCTTTAAAGAAACGCATATTTGGACCGAGTTCATCAGAAAAGAACCGACCCACATTCAGTTGAAACTGAGAAAAAGAGGTTTGAAGTTTTATTCCTGCATAAAGCTCAATGTAGAAAATAAATTTTGACCCCTCTTTTCACAAACTACTCTCTATTTTTCGACATTCCGTTTTTGGCAGTGGATACGGCTAGTGAAACTCAAAAACATTCTTACCTCAATTTTTTCGAAAATGTGGGTTCTGATAAACTCTATCCATTTCTGACGCAGATTGTGAAGCCCGGAGTATATTTCAGACATTCCCGATGCGCTCGTCGTAATTTTTGAGCCACTTTTTATGAAGTATAACTCTTTTTCTTGCTCTAGCTGAAGTTTGCAACAGGCCCATTTCTATTTTTTTCTTGGGATTGGCCGTTGCCGCACCGGTATTCGGTGGGCCTCCTTCATGGGGAGCCGTTTCGGGGCCCTTCGTTGGGGGCACTGTGGCAAATTTTTCCCCTCATCGCGAAGGAAAAAAAAACAAAAAAATAATTAAAATTAATATAACGATCAGAGCAATCACATAATGAATTGCGCCTTTTTCCTATTTTCAGGCGACGACGAGGTCGATTATTATCTTATACGGAATACCTGGGGCCCAGATTATGGAGTATTAAACGTGAGTCCTCTATTTTAATCATTGAATACGTTTTTAGGTGTTGTTGCCCTGTTTAAGTTTTAGTCATAATATTGGCCAAAGAATTGAGGAGGTAGGTCTAAGGAGGCTCCTGGCCCCAAAATCGCCTCTTGCGGAAAGATTTCCAAGTTTTCGTTGAATCAACACTTATGAATTTTTTTCCGATGTATTCTAGATAAATTTGTAGATTAAGCCTTGGAAATCGACTTATACTATTACTTAAGAAGAGCGACGATTTTTCAATGAGACGACGCAACGCAACACGACGCCGCACGCCCGACCGAGTCAATAGGAGAAGTCGGAACAAAATCTGGAAACTTTGAAAGCCCATTTTTTCAAAAATATGAAACAAAACCGTTTAAAAATGGTTCCATTGGCTTCTTGGAATTTCCTCTCGGAAACACCCCTTGAAATTGAATATTCGTGGCGCACTGAACTTCAAAATTTGAAATTAGAGGCACAAATTTTATGTCCGGCCTCTTCTATTAGCTCAATCCACTATCTGCGTCGTTTACCGTCTTCCGGTACTTATTCTTCGCAAATATGGATGGTAAGTTTCTTATCCGACTAATTAGGCCTCTTGGGCCATTTTTCATTTCCGCACATTTCTTCAAATTTCATTTCCGCACATTTTATATCATACGTAAGTTAGCAACGTTGTTGACAAACATTTGAGAAATAAAAAGAAAATTAACGACTCTCCTACCTAAATGAAATCTGGATCATCTGCGTCATCTGAATGTTGTCCATCAGTTTTGTCCGTGAGGTTGTTTGTTATGAAGCTGTGCAATTTCTTTTCCTCCTCGATTTCGTACAGGAAAGCTAAGTAGGTAGTCCAGGCGCCCGGTAAGTCTACCTGGAATTTTGGGTACACAGCGATTTTTTTGGCTTACTTTATGTTTTTTGGGTCGCTGAATCCGAATCTGAAGTTTCCTACCGCGTATCTGGTGAGCATTTTCCGCCATTTTGAACAAATGACCTAAAAAGGCCTTTTTTGCGGTTTTTTTATATAGCGGCTACGCATGAGAAAAAGTCCCGGATTTAGTTAATGTTTTGAATAGCTGACATAATTTGAACTGACATAATAAAAGTACTGGTGACGCACTTGTAAATATAAAACGCATGCGTGAGACTCGTTATATTTTCTTCCATAGTTTTTTGTCTGTTTCTCTTCTGGAAGAATTCGCCTCGCAATATGGATTTTATTTTTAAGGAGATGATACTCTGGTTGTCGAGGATGCAACGTATTACTTGGTGTATGTCGGGATGAGAATGGTAAAATTCATGCTGTAACTTATAGTCCAGTCAATAGAGCACATATAGGGGCTAAGTAGAGACAATTTCTGAGGAATTTTCTGAATTACCATTCCTATGTATTTTTCATCGCTGAACCTGAATTTCATATTTGCGAACAGATCTGAGGCGAGCCAAAGCCGCCATCTTGAAAAAATGGCCGAAATTTGCGTTTTTCGGCCAAAAAACCGAGATAACTCGTATATTATGGAAATTACGGCAAAAGTAGTTATTTTCTGAATTGAAATACATAAAATTTCCATTAAAACGAGTCCAAGATGGTTAAGATCGGATGATAACAAATGCCGTTACAGCGTTGCAAAGTTTCAGGCAATTATTGAAGTCAGGCAATTTTCGTAACTCTCCCTGCAAAAAGAGAGTTTTCAAGGCAACTATTCATTAAATCGTAGTAAGTGCAAGTATGAATGATAAAAGGAATGCAATTTTGAGTTCTTGACTTTCAAGAACGGCAGTGGATGGGAGGGGGGAGGGCGTATAAGCGCAGCTGCAGGGTCCTCCGTTCCTCCCCCATTTTCATGGCCCGGGTGCGGCCGGTCGGCCTTCGTTCTCCGGGTTAGAAGTTCCATTATTGCAATCGTCCATCGTATTTCTAAGGCGCAATGATACAACTATTTGAACTCTCCGGAATGCGTGAGGTATCACGCCGCGTTTGAAGGCGTTTTCAAAACAGCCAAATTCCGATACCCGGATAATCGTTTTGCATACTTCATATTCTTTTGTTGTATTCCTTACCACTTAATTATTTTTATTCCTCGTATAAAAACCACCCATTTGCTAAATAAACATCTTGCTGGAGCGCACTTAAGTTATGCATTCACGACTGCAAAAATTGTAATGGAAATCGAAAAGGCCAGCGTGTATGATGGAAATTTCAATTGTGATCTTCCGGCGCATTTCCAAGGCGCAATGATACAATTATTTGAACTCTCCGGAATGCGTGAGGTATCACGCCGCGTTTGAAGGCGTTTTCAAAACAGCCAAGTTCCGATACCCGGATTATTGTTTTGCATACTTCATATTCTTTTGTTATATTCCGTACCACTTGTTTATTTTTAATCCTCGTATGAAAACCACCCATTTGCTAAATACAATTCTAGCTGGAGCGCACTTCAGCTATGCATTCACGACTGCAAAATTGTCAAAGGAAATCGACAAGGCCAGCGTGTATGAAGGCTATTTCAATTGAGGACTCCGCCCAAGAACAACCTATAACTGGAAACCGCGTTTTGAGAAAAACGTATTAAAAGTTTTATTTTTGATGTATTGCGCAGACTTTTCTATGCAGGTACCCTATTTCGGTGTTTTTGGGTGACCTAACCCTTCTATTGAAAGATGCCAGGTAGATTTTGCGATACATTTTGGGTTTACACTCTAATATAAATTTAATTTTAAAAAAACGGTTTATAGGCCATTATTACGCCCAACAGTCATTTTGGTGGCAATATGAAGTATAAATCATTTTAATCACGCATGATTAACGCAAAATGAAAGAATGTCGATAGTGTGTAAAGAAAGGGGTAACTAGCACCTTAGGCCCTTAAGTTTATAGGCCCGTTTATAGGTCGTTCTTGCACCCATCGATCCATGTATCCAATTGGAGTAAAAATTATTTTCCTGATTTAGAAATTTCTTCTCGCTTTGAGGCTGATTTTTTACGCATCGGAGCTGTTGGTTCACTTATTAAAGCTGATTTGTTCTCCAGGGTTTGCTAAAAATTTAACTTTGACTTGCCTGAAAAGTGGTGGTGTTGAGTGATGATGTTGTGTCACACCCAGTAATGGCATGAATGAGCAGTATGTGTTCGGCTTTCACTCCATTTTGAAGGCTGCCTCGGTTGAAAAGTATTTAAGGAGTCTCACCTTTGCCTGATTTTAGAGGGAAAGCATTTTTGACGTTACTTGGCTGAGCAGTAAGGAGGACAAGGAGGTCAATATATTTTCCTACAATGACAGTAATTTCGCCCTGTTTTGCCATTTGCAAGGCCTTTAAAACTTTGATTGTGTCAGTGACTTCTTCTGCTTGAAATACAGACGATCACAGAATTAGCGGAATACACACAGTCGTTGCATCTTGATGAAAATGCCTCATTTTGTCTCCAAATTACTCGATGGAGCAACAAACGGAAATTTATGACAAACTTAGGATTCTTGTCATCAATTTTATCTACACACGGTATAAATGTAAAAAAAACATACCATAAAATGTGGAATACAAATGCCGTCTGCTGAAAGAGTCATCTGATTTTTTATTAACAGTTATGCACCGAAATAATAAGAGAGGTTTCATTGGAAGAACATCGTTGACAACTCAAATTGAGGACACCGCACCAAGAACAGCCTTTAGTCGTATAGGTCCCATCTGCTTTTCGGATTCTTCTTACCCAGGACTATGCTGTGGTAGCGATAGAATATAGATAGGTAACGGCTCGAGGTCGGAAAACCTTTTTTTCCTGAGTTAAGTCAGGCCTCTGGATCGATGGGTCGAAGAAAAACCCATAAACGGGCCTATAAACTTAAGGGCCTAAGGTGCTAGTTACCCCTTTCTTTACACACTATCGACATTCTTTCATTTTACGTTAATCATGCGCGATTAAAATGATTTATACTTCATATTGCCACCAAAATGACTGTTGGGCGTATTGATGGCCTATAAACCGTTTTTTTAAATTAAATATTTTAGAGTGTAAACCCAAAATGTATCGCAAAATCTACCCGGCATCCTTCAATAGAAGGGTTAGGTCACCCAAAAACACCAAAACAGGGTACCTGCATAGAATAGTCAGCGCAATACATAAAAAACAAAACTTTAAATACGTTTTTCTCAAAACGCGGTTTCCAGTTATAGGATGTTCTTGGTGCGGTGTCCTCAATTGAAATAGCCTTCATACACCATACATCCATACCGGCCTTGTCGATTTCCTTTGACAATTTTGCAGTCGTGAATGCATAGCTGAAGTACGCTCCAGCTAGAATTGTATTTAGCAAATGGGTGGTTTTCATACGAGGATTAAAAATAAACAAGTGGTACGGAATATAACAAAAGAATATGAAGTATGCAAAACGATAATCCGGGTATCGGAACTTAGCTGTTTTGAAAACGCCTTCAAACGCGGCGTGATACCTCACGCATTCCGGAGAGTTCAAATAATTGTATCATTGCGCCTTGGAAATGCGATGGAAGATCACAATTGAAATTTCCATCATACACGCTGGCCTTTTCGATTTCCATTACAATTTTTGCAGTCGTGAATGCATAGCTTAAGTGCGCTCCAGCTAGAATTGTATTTAGCAAATGGGTGGTTTTCATACGAGGATTAAAAATAGACAAGTGGTACGGAATACATAGGTTGTCCCAAAAGTACTGCACGTTTTTTTTTTTTTTGGACAAACGGTAGTAGATATCAAAATGCGGTTTGTGTAGTCTTAAAGACCGGCCAATTACCGATAAAACAAGACAAATCCGAGCTCTTTAGGTCAAAAAATGACCAAGTTACAGTGTTTTGAAAATGACTTGTAGAAGGGACCCCTACAGGATTTGCAGCTTCTTTTCTGAAAAAAAAAACAAAGAGTTGATTGTTTTTGTTCTTTGACGAACGGTAGCAGATATCAAAATGCGGTTTGTGTAATCTTAAAGACCGAGCAATTACCAATAAAACAAGACAAATCCGA